AAGGGGTGACTCGCACCCCAGGCCTGCTGTGCGGGAATTTCCAGAGAGATCTGGGATCCCAACCGCCAGCTGCCAGGACCAGGCCTCACAGCAGGTGTGGGCTGCCAGGCAGGTGCGGCTCAAGGACCCCCTGGGCTGCCTCCACTGCCCCAGGAGACTGAACACCAGGAGGCAGGAGGGTCCCTGTTTTACCGCCAACACACGTACAATCTGGGAAACCTAATATGAGCCTTGCCAGGGTGACAGTCTAACTGAAGGAAATGTGTCCCTCCGCGGCTCTTTCTGCAACCCCCCCACCCCGCAATCCATCGTCCCTCACCTGACCCGTGGGGGAGGGAGAACCACACAGGTTTGGAGCCAGCCCAGGTTTACCCTCCCCGGGCTGTGTGACCCTTAGCCAGTCAGCTTCCCTGAGCTGTAGTTCCTGCTTTGGTAAATTGGGGCTATGGGTTCCCTACTTCCTAGCACTGTTTTCAGGATTAAATCAAATTTCATGGCATGATCTCTGTGCCTGACTACTGGGCACTGTCATTGGGACTTTAAATGCCCACACCCTGAACCCCAGGAGCCCCTTGCCATGTTTTGTAGCCTGGCACAATGACAGGAGCCTGTAATTCCAGACATTCAGGAAGGTAGGGCAGGAGAATCACAAGTTGGAGGCCAGCCTGTCTCAGATTTAAAAAGTGAAAAGAGCTGGGGATGCAGCTCAGTAGTAGAGCGCTCCTCCGTTAAATCTAAGAACTGAAAAAAAAAAAAAAAAAAAGTTGTGTAGATGTGTCCAAGGAGGCGCACACAAGAATGTTCCCTGCAGAACCTTCCTCGAGGTTGAAAAATCGTAAACAACTGAAGAGGCCATTGGTAGGGGCCTGATTAAATCAGGATCCATCCGTCCTGTGAGTCCTCGGCTGTAATTAGAGTCTGGCAGCTCCTGCATGCTGGCTCGGGCACATCCCCACCACGTGGGGCTGCGTGAACAAAGCCAGAGCTGACAACTTCTACAGAACGGCTCCACCTCAGCTCTCAGAACCCCCGCAGATGCCCCGTAGTCCCCATAGGTGTATAAAAATGCCATAAGAACCGYGAAGAACGCTGGCATCATCGTGGTGTTGTGACCCTAGACGGCAGTGACTTGGGAGGCTGAGGCTTGAGGATCACACGTCTGAGGCCACTTTGCAAGACCCTCCCTGTCTCAAAGTAAAATTTAAAAAGGGGCTGGGGATGGGGCTCAGGGGTGTGCCCTGGCCTAGCACGTGGTACAGCCTAGGTTTGACCTCTTGTGCCACAGACCTAAATAAAAACAGCMAAGAGGAAAACACTCCCAGGTGACCTTGGGGTTACCTCTGGGAGGGGCCTAGGGTGGAGGCTGGGGTGGAGGCTGGGGTGTGGCAGGCACAGCAGAAGGAATACCGTCTTGCTGTAGCTCTACCACAGCATGTGTCTGTGTCCTCTGCTTAGACACTCGCTCAAAATGGGCCAATGCCAAGTGCAGAGAGTACGGCCTGACCCACACACTGTCAAGACTCCGCCAAGACCCAGAGGCCAAAATCACGACCACCGTTCAAGGGAGGAGTGAGAAAGGGAGGTGTCTCAGAGCTTCACGTTGATGTCCCCAACACTGAAGTCTGGATTCAGAGCTGGCAATGCCCCTCTGGGCAAATGACATCCCCTAGCATTGGGCAGCCGGGGGTGCACCTCAGCCTGGCTGGGCGGAGGCAAAGGCCACCTCTCCTGGAGGAGCCAAGAGAACTACTGAACTACGTAAAGATCCATCCCTGAAATCCCAGAGGCATCCTCGGAGTGGAGCGTGGCCTTTAAATGAGACGGGGAGAGGCAGGTTTGTCGGTAACTTGATTTCAGGTTAGTGAGGGCTGGAGGCCAGAGCGGTGGCAGCGCCCGCTGAGGCCACCTGCGGAAGTCCTGCGGTCCTGGCTGGGAAGGGAACCCAGCCTCACGCAGGATCGGGACTGGAGCCACAGGCACATGTTCCCATGGAAACTCAGCTGCACAGAAGCCTCTGGAAGTTTTTTTTTTTTGCTGAGGAGGGGCCTCCACTCCTGCACCCACTTCAGGATCCTGGGCTCGGTTTCCAGGAAGGATCTTCTCACGTTCGCGAGTGTTGGGAGGAGCAGGCGCTAGGGAGGGTGGGTGGCTGATGGTTTCTAGCCATTTATCACCCTGGAAGRGGCCAAGGGTAAGGAGCTGCCCGGTCAGAAGTCCTTGAAAAGACTCAGATGCCCTGAGGCTCTGAAGAGCAGGTGGCCTTGGAGGGTGGGCAGGCCGGGCCACAAGAGAGTGGGCTGTCCCTCAGGGGCAGGGCAGGGGCAGGTAGAGGCCGCATCACTAAGACCCTGAGCCACAGGGCGGCCCTTTGGCACGGGCCTCCTTCCCTCCTCAGCCCTGTCCACGCTCAGGACGGTCACAACCACCCTTCCTTGGTGGAGCTCCAAGGACCCCTCCCCCTGTCCTACTCGATCCTCTTCTCCTCTGCCGGGGACCCCCTGGCCCCAGAACCCCTGTCCTCCTCTCTGCTCGCCTTGCCCACTCTCCGGCCCTGGACAGCTCCAGCCTGTCGCCTGAGCAGCTGCTTCTCCACTGCTGTGGCGTCCCGCCCAGGGAAGCCTGTCCCCCACTCAGCACACTCCCTGGGCTCTGCCCAGCRGCCTGCCTCTCTGAAGGATGAATCCCAGAGGGAACTGCACCCGCTGGGCCCTGCGAGAGCCAGGGAGTCCTCCACCGTCCTCTCAGACACACCGAGGGGCCTGAGGGTCACTGGAAACCAAGGCTCGGGAGGGCCAGGACTCACTAAGTCCCACTGTGGCTGGAGGTGGAGCTGGGAGCCAGGAGGCCCAGTGGCCACCCTGCCCTAGAGGGGCAGCTCCTCTCTCTGCCCAGTCACAGCTGCTCCCTCGACCCTGCACCAGCTCACCTGAGGCTCTCAGTCCTGGCGGCCTGGGGCCAGGTGCCCYGTCTTCTGTGCTGCCCCCTGGGAGTCCCAGGACATTCTCCCCCAGCCTCCCTCCCGTCAAGGCCCTCTCAGTCCCCCCTCACCCCGCACCCTCTTCCTCCTCTTTCCCCCTCTCTGCTCTCTCACTGGAGCTCACGGCACCTGCTGGCCTCCCGGCTCTGCACCCATCTGGCCAAGTCTGTGTCCAGAGCTCAGTACTCAAGGGTGTCTCAGGCCACAGACAGGAGCCGGGATTTTACTGCACATGAAATGGGAACCAGGCGTGGTTCTGAGCAGGAGCCTTGAGCGGCTTGGTAGAAGAGACCTCGGTCAGGACCACTGCAGGGGGCTGTGAGGGGGGCCTGGGCCAGGACACACTGAAGTCCCTGCCAGGGTCCTCCCCTGGAGAAGGCTGGAGAAGCCCGAGTCCCAGTCAGGAGGTCCAGGGGTCAAGGACAGAGAGGCCCAGGAGGCGGGGGAGGCAGGCCTGGCCAAGAGGCTCCTCTGGTCCTGCTGGCTGCAGTTTTCACTCCCCTGACCCCCACCGCAGGCTGCTGGAGGCTGAGCCTGGAGCTGGCTCTGAGCGAGGCTGCTGCCTCCCTCCACAGGCTGGGACCTCACCAAACTCAGCCTCCGCAGCCCGGCCTGGTGATCCTGCTCCGGGCCGCCTAGAACCTAGTCAGGAGGCCGACGACCKTCGTAAGGGCCCAGGGAGGCCCCGTGCCACCTAGCAGAGTGCCTGGGGACACCTGGCGGTCACCAGGGCCACCCTCAGCCTTTCTCCCCACAGAAGACCTGACSTGCAGAGCAGGACGTGCTGACCGAGTGCTGGTGGCCCAGGGCTGCTTGGGTCCCCCACCCTACCTGGGGATATTATAGTGGCCTTGAGGCACCCTAGAGACTTCTGGAGCAGCCTGGGAGGTGAGGAAAGACTGAGCCTGGGGAGGACCCAGGGGGAGGGGACAGATGACAGCCTGTGTGGCCCTGAGCCYGCCTGCCTGGGGAACAGTGGTCAGCTACCTTGCAGGGCTGCTTCCAGGGTGAGACGAGGGCTCACTTGAGCCCCCGGAGGAGCAGACAGGCTCTGGGTCAGGCCCTGGGGAGCCACTGTTCTCCCAGCCTCTACCGCAACACAGAGACCATCCGCCCATCCAGGGGTGGGGCACCACGCCAGGCAGCTGGACCGCCACGGGAAAGGGAGGGCTGAGGCAGCCAGGGTGGGCACGGTGTCCCATCTGGGTCAACACAGGGGGCAGGAATGGGGCCGAGGACGGGAGTCAGAGGAGGCTGGATGGAGCTGCAGGTGGTGGGCTCAGGACCTGCCAGACAGAGGGACGTTGGGGGATAGGGTCTTGGGGTGGGAGGGAGGAGCCAGGCCACGGAGACAACCCGGGGAGTCTCGCGGGGAGAGGGGAGAGCTCTGGCCACTCACCCAGCTCCCGCTCAGCCGGGCCTCTGCTGCACCCTGACACAGCAGAACCCCTTCTCAGCAGCGTGCACAGGACCTTTCTGCTCCAGGCCCCACTCTGACGACCACCGCTTGCCACATCCGCAGCCTGCGTGTCTGTCCCTTGAGCCCCATCTTGAGCCCCATGCTCCCATGCCAGCCTCCTCCTCTGGGCAGCTGGGGTGTTCGCCTCTCCCCCCCACAGCRCTTGCACACAGCGCTGATGGGGGCCCTCGCTGTGTTCTCTCRGAGGCTCATGGGCTGCGCAGCAAGATGCCGGCTGGCACCGGGTGAGCCACACAGGCTCTGTGGGCAGGCACGGGCGGGGGAGGAGGCCTTCAGGAAGAGGCTGGGTCCCAGGGAGCCCCCAGGGGCTGAGCAGCACTTCGCCAGCTGCAGCAGGGGAGGGAGATGGGACAGCCCAGGAAGGACCTGAAGAAGGGAAGCACTTGTCTGGGTGCAGGATGGGCCCCCCCCCCCCCGCGGCCACAGCAGGAGGACCTCGGATGTGAGGTTGAGGCCATGGGCGGGCCCTCACTCTTCGTTCAGGTCAAGGCCACACCCTGGGCTTCTGATCCAGGACAAGCCCCATGGCTGGTGGAACCTGTCCTAGAGATTTTCATAGACCAGGTTCAATTCACTGTCGTCCCCAAACCTAGGCAGTCTCTCCTGGGAAAGAAAGAATGAGGAGGAATAGAAGAGGGAGAAAGGAAGGGGTGGAGA